GAAAGAAGTAAAAGAAGAGCTTGATGCTGATGGAGGATAGGAAGATGTAAAAATAGGTATGTTAGATTGTGATTTAAGAGGAATATCATGCAAATCATTAGTAAATAGAGTATAGTGATTTAGTAGTATATTGAGTTTATATGATAAATACACATGTGCTTCACTTTTATTACTGTAAACTGTAATAAAAGCATAATCTGCTAAATAGTCAACATTGTTTTGTTGTAAATGTTGTAAAAAAGAATTAACAGTTTGTGGTTTGTCTAATAAAGGAAGTTGGTAATAAGTAAGAAATTTGTTATAGCATATTTCCAAATCATAGGAGTTGGATAATATTGGTAATAATTTGGGTAAATGTCCTTCTGTAGTTGTGCTTGCCATTTTAAGCTTGGTTCTCACAGCTGCGAAGGGTTCTATAGTCTGCTATGTACGTTTGGTCTGACCATTATTAACTTGGTCCTCTGCATAATATAACAAATCTTAAAGTAATAGGTTCAATTAAAAAAAGTTATAATCAAATTGCAGATACTATTAATACTAAGTTTAGAAGTATTAGAAACAAAAGATATCATAAACTTGAGCCTGTTAAAGAAATTGAAAATGGTATTGATATTAGTAGTGTTACTGAAGAACATGTTAAAAGCCTTAATAATAATGAAGTATCTTATACTCGAAAAGAAGTTGAAAAAAGATTAGCAGTTGATGAAAAACATGGAAATTTTAGAAAAAAATAGAAATTTTTATTTTTATTTTATTTTATTATTTATTTTTTATTTAATAAATTTATTCTACTTAGTTATAAATAACCAAGTAAATTTTTAACATCATAAATAAAATAACAGAAAAAGAAAAAAAAATCTCAAAACAAATTGTAGATTCTTCTTGGAATATACAATTTGTTAATTCTTTTAAATGAATATTTATAATTTAATATATGTTTGAAATGAAAGAAAATAAAGGGGAAAAAATAAATATTATTAAATGGAAAGAAAAAAATTACAAATTTTTAACCAAAAAAGAACAAAGATATTTTAATAACTTTAAAAGTAAATAAATATTCTATTCAGTTATTATGACCAAATAGAATTTTATTCAAGTAATCCTTGATAATAAGCACTAAAAAAAAGGTAAGAAATTACTAAGTATTTTGTTTAGTTTCTTTATCAAAATATAAGTTTACACTGCAAGCTTTTTTGCTAATAGCAAAACCGAATTACTCGTGTAGATTTTTTTTTTTTTTATAATTCGGCAATCCTGCCTCTGTTTATTTGAGATTAAGCTATTCAAGAATTATACATTTCT